ACTTACCTGTTTTTACTCGAGTTACTACAACTCTAACCTGAGTTACTCATCTACCTGTGGGTGACCTGATTTGTACCTATTCAGATCCAATCCCTAATCAAGTATAAATTAATTTTGTAATTTAATATTATTTAACTTTAACTGATATTACTGCTTAGAACTATATTGATTTTGCTAAAACAAAAATATTAATAAACACAATTTTAAAAACTATAAACAGGAATAAATAAAGTTAGAATTATAACCAAGTATTAATCAAAAAAATCTGCTTAGGTAATACAAACTTATATAATAAATTTTTATATTACTAGCTAACTTTCAGTAATACAGCAACTCAGATTTTGATTTTTTTTTTACAAAATATTTTTTTTATAAAAAAATTTTATAACTTTGTTATTCTGTAACTCAAGTATCTGGTAAAAAATTTTATATATTTAAAATTTTTTAAATTATATTATGCTAGCATAAAAACCTATACTCTGCACAGAGTATAAAAACTTTAATATAATTTAACAAAACTTTGCATTTATAATGCCAAAAATATTAATTATTATAGCTGTTTTCAAATTAATATATTTAGCTAATTTTATGATTAATAAATAATCTTTATACTATTTGAAGAACATTAAATAATTAATTATAAATAAGTATTTAAATTAAGTATTTATATAAATAAGTATTTGATAATTTTAATTTTACTAATTAACATTAACAAATTATCTTTATACTTACAGGCTAAATTAATGTAAACAAAAGAAATAATTTGAAAGTATTAGATAATTAATTGTAAATAAATATTTAGTGATAAATATTTATGAATATGTATTTATATTTATGAGCTTAATAAAACTAATTTATGTTAATAAATTATCTTTATGCTCACAAACTATTTAAAAAGTATTAGATAATTAATCATAAAGAAGTATTTAGAGATAAGTATTTATGAATAAGTATTTATTTTCATAATTTTAACAAAACTGATTAATGTTAATAAATTATCTTTATACTTACTATTATTTAAAGAGTATTAGGTAACTAATCGTAAAAAAGTATTTAGTAATAAATATTTATAAATAAATATTTATTTTATGTTTATGATTTAATTATACTGATTAACTATCTTAATACTCATATATTATTTGAAGAGTATTAAGTAATTAATTGTAAACAAGTATTTAGAAATAAATAGATATGAATAAGTATTTATATTCATAATTTTAATAAAAATTATTTATGTTAATAAGTTATCTTTATACTTACTAACTGAAATAATTTAAAGAGTATTAGATAATTAATTGTAAATAAGTAATTTGAGTTAAGTATTTACGAATAAGTATTTATGTTTATAATTTTAATTTCATTGATTAACAATCTTTATACTCATAAACTAAATTAATTTGAATAAAATAATTTGAAGAGTATTAGATAATTAATTAATTATAAATAAGTATTTAGAATTAAGTATTTATAAATAAGTATTTATGTTTATAATTTCAATTTTACTAATTAATATTAATAAATTATTAGCAAATTCTGATAAACTATTTTTTAATATATTTGAATTTGCTATTATAACAACTATAACAAGATCTATACACTATAAAGCCAGATAATAATCAGCAGAAAAAGAAAGAAATGTTAAAGATTATCTTATACCAACTTACTATTAAGTATAAATACCTAAACCTAGTTAGTTATATAGAATATTCTCATGATAATACCTCTTGCATAACTATCATCAATATAATAAATTATTTTCTATATCAAGACTTTTTAGAAGTTGTATATTTGAGATTATATACTTATAAATTTCTATTTTCTATGATATTTCTGTGCTATATTTCTACTTTCTAAAATATTTTTGTAATACTTTTGACATATTCTGTGATTACTACTTAAATTCTGTTATTCTGTAGTATTCTGTGAAATGCAGAATATCATTATTCTTTGAGAAGTATACAATTAGTAGATTTACAAAAATAGTGCAAGTTATATGATAAATTCTCATAATAATCTTTTTTTTAATAAATGTTATATAAAATTCAAACTGCAATAACTCTTTAACCAAAAACTTGCATAAATAAAATTATATTTATTTTAACATACTTTTTAAAATAATAATATTATTTTTTTTATTTTTATTATCTAGAGTATAGTGGAAGACTTAAAAATTTTATGCAAAGTTTTTATTTTTGATAAATTTTTTAATAAAAAAATCAAAAATGTAATAATCAAATTTTTGTTTGCACTATTGCATATTGTATAATATGAAATTTTCTTATAGCAGTTTTAGTTTAAGATAAAAAATATTAGATATTTGATAAGAAAACAAAAAAAAGATTATTATTACTTTAAAAAGTATATTAAAACAAACCTAACAAGTATAATTTTATTTGTGTGAGTTTGTTAGTTCAAGAATTATTATGATATAAATTTTATAATATATTTTATTATCACTATTATTGATTTATAAAAAAAATATATTATGAGAATTTACTATATAATCTGTAAATCTACTAATTATATATATTCTAATTGTTTCTAGTCTATACTATTAGAATTTTATTAATTACATAATTTAAATAAATGATTCTTATTAGTTAGTATATTAAAAAAATAAAATTTTGTGATTTCTACTTTACTGATATAGCTAGGATATGAGAACCTATTATATAAGTTTATATAGCCTTATATATATTAACTAATTTTTTCTTTTTTTTAGATAGTACTAAAAAAACTTAATCTGTAGCTTTGTAGTAGTATAAATTATCTATACTGATATATTTGTTATTTTAAACTTTCATTAAATCAATATTTTTAACTTAGTTATAATCTATTAAAAATTTATATTATACAAAACTAAAAACTACTTAATATTTTTATAATTAATTAATATATATTTCTAACAGAGTTCTAAAAACTACAATACTATAAAATAAAGCCTTAGTATAAAAATATAGTAGTCTTATTACTATCTAATCTGATTATAAATAAAATTCAAAAAAAAATTTTCATTTATCAGAAACAGTGCTTTTGCTTTAAAAACTACTTAAATACTTTTTTATTATCTTTAAAATACTAATACTATTTTAGTAACAATTTTTAATTTACAAACAGATTTAAATACTCTTTAAATACTTCTTCTTATCTTTGAAAATATCTATATTACTTTGATAATAATTTTTAATACTATTTTATTTATTAAATTTTATATACAATTTATAATATAAATTAAGTTCTACCTTTAAATTCTGAGCTATAAGATATTGCATAGTTTTAAACAAAAGTTTTTGTATTAAATATATAAAACTTCTTTATATTTTTATATGAACTACTCTTTAACAATACTGTAACAGAAGTTTTACCTATTTTTAGATCTTGAAATATAATTTTTAGATCTTAAAAGCTAGAACTTTGTTAAATATAAGTACAAACTTTTAAACTACGTAAAAATTAAAAAAACTTTTTTCTTTAAAAAATAGTTTTTATAAAAATTTAAATTTACTACAAGTAATAGCAACTTTTTGTACAGTTTTTTTTTAAACTAACATAATAATTACAAGTTTAATTTGTTGTTTAATTTACTTAAAATAGTATAATAATAATATTTTTTTTTGATTATAAACAAACTTTATTCAAAATATAATATTAATAAGTTTATTAAAAAATCAAAAAATTAAGGTTATTACTAAAAAAAGAGAAATAAGAACTACAAAATAAAAAAATTTAATACAAAAATTTTATGTAGTTAATTTAAAAATTGTACAGTAGCCAACAAAAGTAATACTTGATAGTTTTTTTATAATAAAATATATAAAAAATTAAAATTTATATTAATGCAAAAGTTAATATTCTTTTTATTTAAAAAAATTTTTTTTAATATAATTAGTAAATTTAAAATTTATATAAATGCAAAAGTTAATATTCTTTTGTTTAAAAAAAATTTTTTTAATATAATTAGTAAATTTAATATTTATATTCTATAATATATGAGTTTTATTAAGATGAACAAATTGAAATTTTTTTTTAAATTATGAAGTTAATAATTCAAAATTTCATATATAAAACATATAAAATTTGTAAATTTAACTTTAAAATTAAATATAAAATTTTAAAATTTTTTTAAAAAACTTAACTAAAATTATTAAAATAATACTATTATATTTAAAAGCAATGTAAAATAAAAAATTATTTTATAAAAAAAATATAAGTTTTAATATAACATAAAACTACAATTAAATTTTACAAAATTTATATAGTAAAAATATAAAAAAAACTTAAAATTTAAAATTGTTAAAAATTCAAAGTTTAAATAATAAATATTTTGTAATTTTATATATTGGAAAATTTGATATTTATATTTTATGTGATAACAAAAATTTTTAAAAAGGATTTTATATATAATTTATTATAAAATTGATCATCAGATATTACTTTTGTTAGGTACTATACTTTCGTTAGTTATATCATATCTTTATTAGTTATATTAATAATAAAAAAAATATTCGCAAAAGTTAATTTTCTGAAATTATTTAAAAATATATAAACAATTCTCATATAATAATTATAAAATATTTCTAACTATAACTAGCAGTAAACATTACCAGTGTGTAATAAGCCAATAGATTTCCAGGATCAGGTATAATGTGCAAATTGTTTTTTTAAAAAAACATACTAATTTCTCAAGAATTTGTCTATAAAACTACTTTTGACATTCTAACAAAAAAAATTTCTTGCTAAAATTTGCATATATATATAATATCTTATTAAAATTCTAGGCTTCACTCTAACTCTAAAGTAAATGAAATAAAATTTTTTATTGTTTTATTATTAGCTAATTATAATAGCAGTAATAATCACTGCTGGTTAAAGTTAAATTCATAATTATATATATTGTTTAATTTTATAGTTTGATAATTATAAAGCTATATTATATAAAAATATATCTAAAATTTAGCTATCTATAATAACTTGTATAAAAAAAAATTTTTTAATTCAAATTAAACACCAAAGAGCTCATTATTAACTTCTATTGAATTTATTCTATCTTGTATGATTGTTTGTTCTTCAGATTCACTTATAATTTCAGCTACTATATTTTCATTTTCACTAGCAGTTGGTGCTTCTTCTGCAGAAATTGCTTTTACAGATTCTTGAGATGGAGCACCATTTCTTTCAAAGTCTTTCTAAAAATTATCATAATAAGTATATAAGAAGTCTATTATTTTGCCAACAATTATATTATATAATATAACAATTTATAAATTGTATATACTAAAGCTAATAAGATACCAAATTATCAGATTAGACTATGACTTGTCAGTAAAATAACTGTTAAAGTTATTGCTATTTATTTGTATAAGTATAATAAAAAATTTAATTGATATACTTACAATATATTTCTTTATTCTTCGTTTCATTCTATTTTCAGTACATATAATTCCTATTGAAGCTAGATTAAGAAAAATATCACAAATAGCAAGAGTAAATGCATAATATGCATTTGTAAGATTAGGAGTTGATGCTTTACTAAATGCATTCCATGCAATTATAATAATCTAATATGTATCATTATTGCATTAGAAAAGCAAATTAAAACACTTAGATACTTTTTGGTTATTTTTCCATGCTACAATATTACTAGCAGATGCATTATTTTTTAGTGGTAGCAACTTCTCCATACCAAATATATGAGATACTGCTTTTCTAACATTAGATTGTGCTGTACTTCGTATATTTTTCATTTTGATTAATAGCTATTAATAAAATAAAAAATTTTAGTATATATCTTATTTTTGTAATGTTATTTATAAAAATTTATAAATTATTATAAAATACAGTTAATTCTGAATATAATAAACTTTTTATAATAAGCCTTGAATATAATGAACTCAATAATTTAAAATTCTTAATATATAGTTTGATATTAAAATATGTATAAATTCTTAAAAAAGCATAATTATTTTCTATAATAAACTTTTTTTCTTCTAGAATATTCAGTTCATTATAGAGTTAACTAATATATATTTATTTTTTGTAATGCTAGATCTATTTTGCTTTTAACTAACCTGAAAATCATATCTAAAAATTTTTAAAAGTGCTTTATAGAGAATTTACTATATTTTTTTGGTTCTACCACAAAATTCTGAAAACTATTTTCTCGAAAAAGCCTAATACTGACTAAATTGGCTAATATTATAACTAATACTAGCTAACCTTATCAGTATTAGGTCTTTTCAGAAATATGTCTTTCAGGATTTTGTGGTAAAACCATTTTTTTTATATCAAATATTAATAATTTTGCAAAATAAGTTCATTATAAAATAAGTTCATTATAAGGTTCAATATGTCTAGAAGTCCAGAATTAATATATATATAATTATTAATAATATACTAATAATAAATATATACCAAGCTAAGCCATTCTTCATGAAAATGATTAAGAAATTAGTTGGGACTAAGGTTAACTAACAAATCATTATAGTTTTCTTTCAAGTATATCTTTAATGTATCTTTTAAAATATCTTGTGTTGGATAAATAGTTTCTGGAATGAGATGCTTTACAACTTTACTAAAAATAGACTATTAAAAATCTAATTAATATAAGCTGAATATATAGTATATTTATATTTTTAATTAGGAAAAAGAGAATCTCTATGATTTTCTATAATATATTATAGGTAAAAAAAAAATTAAAAAAGGTCTGGCGATCTTAGTGTAGTAGTTAGGTTGCCAGACTGCCATGCAAGAGGTCTGGGGTTCAAATCCCATTGTCGACGAATTTGAATAATTACCCAGACCTTTGTACCCAACTTACAGTAAACTCTGCTCGTTTCTGGGGGTTACAA